TGTAAACACTGAATGAGATTATCATTACACAACAATAATCAAGATAAGGTATTGTTCCCAATATTTAAGTTTTGTTTTTGTTTTTTTAACTTAAGTGTATTTTTGGTCTTACTGTGCAGCTGTTTATCACTTTGCTTATTGTGTTACTATTGTTTCACACATCCTCTGCTATGTCATGACATTTAAAAATAAAAGAAAAATATTTACTAATACTGTTATCACCACTACTACTACTAATATCAATAATAATAATAATAATAATAATATGTTGCAAGATTTCTTATTTAGTAATTTTTTAGAGTATTTATTTGATGTACATTGCAGAAAATGAGTCATTTTTCTTGTGCTTACCTGAACCAACACAAAGAATCTTTTCTTCCATCGTTTCCACACATTTTTGCCTATGGCCCATAGGTACCTGTGGACAAAAATAGAATTGTTTTACACCAAAAGATACAATAAAGTTCCAGAGTTTTTGTGTTACATTTGAAAAGCTGTTTTGTCATCTGTCTACTTCAAGAGAATTGAAATCTGATGTACAATGCTGCACAGAGTAATGCATCCACTGACATCTTCTGGTGAACAACCGTCACTACAACTGAACACATAAAAACACAGATCACAGTCAGAATCTCTTTATTTGATGTTACACATACAAGGAATTTGGCTTGGTGACAGCACACATTTAAGACATGTAACAAGCACACAGAAAATTAACAAGTAATATACTAAGATGAGTTTAACATATACACAAACTGAGGTTTAATATCTATACACAAACTATGATTTAAAGAATTTTACAAATGATGTAGGTACTAACAGAGTATTTGCATCTATACATTAGTGCATTAGAACTTCTATTTATCAGACATGAAACCACAAAGTCATCGGACTAAATAAACAGCTTTCATTATTTAAAAAACAAATTTACGAGAAAAATTAAAAAGTGGGTATTAAAAAAGTTTCTCAAAGACAGAACTGGATTCACATTCCAACATCATTTTACAAACAAGGTCAAAGCATCAAGACTGAAAAGTCACATCTTGTTTTTTTTTTTTTTTTGTGGAAATGAACAGATTCCTTCTGCAAAGTACAGTATTTTCTTCTTTCAGATGTTCTCRTCGTACTAATATTTAATATTCACTTTGCATATTGCTGTCATATAGCTTTTTTTGTSAATAACACTGTAAAGCATRCCGCACAGATATATCCTGGTATAGTGAAGTATAATGTGTATCTTTCTGTATATTGTGTASTATGTGTACATTATWTGTAAAGTATCTGTATAGTGTTAATAATAGAGAGACACGAACAGCCGGAAACAAATTCCTTGCTTGTGTCAACATACTTGGCCAATAAACCTGATTCTGATTCTCTCTTCAGGGGTCTCCACAGCGAGTCATCTTCCTCCATCTSTCTCTGTCCTCTGCATCTTCTGTCCTCACYTCAACTATCTCCACATCCTCTTGAACTGATTCAATGTATCTCCTCTTTTAAAGGTTATCTAACATTATTCTATTATTACACCTACGGTCAATTTTCTGAACATGTCCAAACCATTTCTATCAAAACCTATATAAAAAAGAAAAAAATTATACCAAAATGTATTTCAAAGTAAGAAATGTGACCCAAAGTCATATTTAAGCCAGCATCTAACAGGATTACTAAGATGAGTTCCCAAAAGCAGGCTTTTGTTGGGGTTTGTATTTTGTCTGTTGTCTCCCTCTTGTGTCCTCCTTGTGTTATTACTCATCATCTCTCCTCAGTCTGTTTCCTGCTGTTTACCTGTTCAATTATCTCTCACCTGTCAGTAGTTYCCAATTAGTTTTCCTCAGCTGTTGTTCATCCTCTCTCTTCCTCTGTGTGTATAAATGCTGTTCTCTTCATTCTCCGCTGGATCATTACATGGCTTCGTTCAACTGTCTCGTTCTCCTCGTATTCCTTGTGTTTTTGTTACTTTTGCTGCCACGTCAGCATTTTGTTTTGTTAAATAAGTTTCTTTATTTAAACTCTTATCTTCTGTCCGGACTTGGGTGCATTCTGCAAACAAACCTGACAGAATGATCCAGCCACAATTAGATCCTACCAAGAGGATTATTTTTTTTTACTTTATGGAGAGGGAGAACCTCTTCTCCCCTCTTGGTGAGTGGGGCAAGGGTTCAGCCAGGAGGCGGGGATATGGAGGTTGAAGCTCAGGAGTGGAGGTCCTCCCGTCGCCGTTGTTGGTGGAGGAGGAAGAGTGGCRAAGAACTCAGTTCTGGGGAACCYGTCTGGCGTTCAGGACTGCTCCACCATCTCCATCATCTCACTCTCCTCTGTCGCCAGCGGAGAAAGGCTGCGGCTGCTCCTGAGTTTCCAGAGTAAGACCCCAACTACGATCCCAAGAGCGATCCTTTCTGCCCCGAGTATACTGGGTACAGCCCCGCCGAGCTGTTGGATTACTGCTCCGCTGAGCCGATGTCTCGCTCTCGTTTCTTGCAGTTGCATATCAGATCTGCACAACAGTCAGGAGGAATTTTGGACCATTCCTCTTCACAAAACTTTTTCAGTTCAGCAATATGACTCCCGCTTACGCTTCGCGTGCGGGGCTCATTATAATCACCTGCAATAAACAATTGCAGGATGATTTGGTGATGACATTATGGGTGACATAAGGGGTATTAGCAAGAAAATATATCATTATGAAAACTAAAGAGAAGGGACGGAATGGTGGGAAACAAGGAAGACGGAGGGAATGTGTTTAGGAAGAGTAGGAGAGGGAGGAGAAGTGGGGGAAAGAGGAAGAGAGAAAAATAGAAAAAGAAAACATGTATACAATATATTTTTACATTCCAAATGTCAGTAGCAACCACATAATTATGACCCTGCATGCGAAGCGTAAGCGGGAGTCGTTGTTTTTGTACTGTTTATTTATTTATTTTTTCTGTGATTTTTGGTCAACCGTAGCACAAAAACAGCTGCACTGATCAACATGAAATTTGTCAGGACTGTAGAAGAGTCTGACCTATACTGAGC